GCATATGAAAGCTGAATGTTTGGGGAATGTGACAAGTATTCATATATTGTTGTGGTTTCATCCATTTTACTATAATTAACATAGTTGTTATTAATTATTTTGAATTTTTCAAGAAAATTAAATAAAGCATAAATATATTCTCTTTGATTCCATTTATTTTGTTATTAATCCACTTTACATCAAAAACGAAACGGAACAAGAAAACAAAACACTCGACAACTCAGCAGCAATGAGTTGGACAAGTTTCGTGCATTTCACGAGTATTTATCTGTTTCTTTCTGTCTCGCGCTTTTTCCTCCCGTATTAAACTTCTGGTGATTAAAATTAATACGAGTAACTTTGACGAGTATCTAAGTTAACGTTTGCATGGCTCGAGTCTCTCTCTAATCTTACAAGGCCCATTGTGCAGAAGCCCTTATCTCTACGAAACAGCTTCATCTTCGGTCTCTGGGGGAAAGGCGGCGGCGGCGCCTACTGCCTCCACCACACCGCCTCGCATTGTTTAATTGAATACTGCACGAAAACCGTAATCGATACAAACAAAATTGTTTTTTGTCTAAAATTACTAAAAATTCTCCACGAATATTTTCGACTTAACTGACATATCTAATGTTTTATAATATAATATTTTAATTTCGTTCTAAATACATTACATTGAAATTATTTTTAAGCTGCAGCTATTGAATAATGGTGGATTCGCCGGGTCATGTTACCTTTTTGTTACTCGACCCAAAATTGTAACTATAGAATATTCATTTATAGAGTATTCAATTTCAACTAGCGCCAAGCGAATACTCTATAAACAATTAATCAAATTTGATTTAATGTATATTTACAACTACTACTGAAGTGATAAATAATTTATTTAATAGTAATTATATACATAATTCTAATTATTTCTAGTTACTAAATGATCAAAGTATGTAATAAAGTGTACTTGCTAAGAAGACTTCAATAAAGATCTAATATTAGAAGTTTTCTAAAAAGGAAAAGGTTGGGAATATCGAAAAATAATTTATTGTACAGACATAAAGTTAACTATAATTAAAGATATTTTCAGTAAATAATAAAATAATAGAAATAAAGCAAGAAGTTACCATCATGCGCGACTAACGAGACAGTTGCCGCTACCGCTGAAAGCTTTAAAATCATCGCCGCCGTCATCCTTGTCTTTGCTACTGTTTCCTGGCTTGTCGACTCGCCGGATGAACTTCAAATGGCCCGGCATGTAATTGTAATCGGGAATTCCCCGCACGTAGAGCGGCTTCGAGGGCGCCGCATCCACGGACGTGGAATCCTTACGCCGTTTCCCATCCAGTCGGTTCCCGGTGCCGGCGAACGCCACAAATCCTGAAGGCTCCGGCATCAGATCCGCCGGATCCACGGACATCTCTTCCTCGACCTTCTTCACCTTCTCTGGCTCCTTGTACCCGACCGGCGCCGCAAATTCCACCTAAAACAAGCACAATATTTACGTACCAAACCGCTGCACAAAAACGCGTACAACACTCACGTTCATATCGCATTCTATGATGCTGATCGCGTTTTCCGGTTTCGTTTCAAGAACGGACAACTCGTACGCCTTTTTATTATACTTCACGGCGATTACATCGCCCATCGTGAGGCAGGCGAACGTTCGAAGGCAATTCTCCAGCACCGCTTTCGGATTTGTAATATCTAAGAAGTCCGGAGATAAAGGCTGGAACTTTGAGAACGTTCCCACCGGCAATGAAACAGATTCAACTTGCAACATATCACCTTCCTCCAGCACCAAATTATTCATCATCTACAAACAAAAAGAAATTCATAAAATATCCCTTAATTCAAAGTCATTAATTACCCATAAAGGAAGATAAACATTCTCCTCATCTGCAATGAATTCCAACACACCACCATGGGTAGTCCTCGAAGTCTTTTTATTAGTCAACCTGAACAACATAGGGTAATTTATGTTAAGCCTTGTCAATGTCTCGAGAGCAGATGGTGGCATAATAACTACAAAAAAAAAATAATAATACAATTAACAATAAAGTAAATTCACTTTAGTGATTCGACTCTCACTTTTTCCACCCTTCTCCACATCCTGTCTCTCGTTTCCTGGCAACATCGCCACCGAGTAGCAGCGATAGTTGCAGTTGAAAGGTCTGGGCACCTCCGGGAACATGTTAAACCCAAACTGAAACTGAAATTTGGTGAATTTAAATTACATTCAAAATATCACAAACAACAGCGTTGAGTGTAGATTTCTAGATTTAAATTTGTCTTACCATTATTGCTGTTGTCTAGAAGCAGTGCCAAAAAGAGAGTAAATAGAACGTTCCAGGTTAATGTTTTGTTATGGTCTGAAAATTTAGTTTGTCACCAGTTCTGACAGATCTATACCAATTTAACTCTTAAACTGCTATCTTCACTACGTTTACTCCTTTGCTTTTCTTCCATAGATGGCTCTGCTATCCAAAAATTGATAGAAGTATACTTGTTTCATAACTTAAGCCAAGATTATATAAGGATCATTTAATTTAATCTTATCTATAAATATTGAAACTAAAACTTTACAGTTATTAATAAGGTTGTATAGGCAACTAAATTTACATTAACTTAAAAGTAGATTTTATTACAGAGGTTCCCAACCTTTCAATAACAAGAACAAATACCGAAAGGGATTTTAAATGAACATAAATACATTAATTATTGGAAAATATTGTTGAAAACCTTTATATTATCATTAAGGAAACAATAAATAAAAGATCTATAATTGTATTTATATACTAACTACTTTATTAAAAGAACTGCTGATGTTTTTTTCAATCAGCACTAGACATTATCATAATAATGAGAAACAGCCTAAATGCAACATAGAAAAAGAATATATGAATAAAGACAAAAAAAAAATAAATATAACTTCATATGATGTAAAATATAAATGTGGAAATAATAAAATTATATTTCGAATATAAAGGTGTACTATTTAAAAACGATTTTCAGTATCTTCTCGCAGTAGAACTGTTCTTCCTGAAATAAAGAACAAAAGTTAAGAAATTGAATATTTAAATTGGTTTTTAAGTAATTTACTCTGCACTCGTCTTTGTTCTTGATCAATTGCAGATGTTGCGAGAGCGTATCCTTCAGCTTGTATTTATCCTTACGCAACTCACTCTTCACCAGTTCGTCGCCCTTCACGATCATATGCAGAAGGGATAGAATGTGCTCCTGGCACGGTTTCCAGTCGCCATCAATTAAACGTACAAGTACTGAAGGAAAATCTGCTTCCAGTAGACTTGCTGAAAAAATAACACAATTATTTATAGTTATGATTTCAGTAGGACGTTATTTTCAAGTTACTAGTGAGGTATTTGTCCAAGTGAATTAAAGCTGACAAGAGGAAGGTAATTTTGGTCCTGATTTTGTCGTGGTCCTTGTTCAAGGCAGTTTTAAGTATTTCCAGTCCTTTGTGGTGCAAGAAGTTCTTGTAACCAACCATACTATCCCTTGAAATACCTGTTAAAGTGTTAATTTAAACTGATTTTATTATAAATCGATATATGAAAACTTACAACTGACAGCATAAATAGCCTTCACCTGCACCTGCTCTGAAATATCATTAGCAATAAGATTCAGCAAGGTGGGCATCAGATTTGTGCAAGTACAGATGACATTCTGTATATAAGGATTGTTCTGAGCAAGTTCAGCAATGAGATCACAGGCATTCACTCTGATGGCTTCATGTTCTGACTTCAGGCAAGGCTCAAAAATGAGGAAACCCTCGATTTTGTGAAAATCATTAGCCATATCAATATCAGACACATATTCCAATATAGTCTCGAATGCAGCAAGTTTAGCAGGCACATCAGATTCAGAGATGTTCTCCACATCCTTCAGAATCTCAATCTGAGATCTCAACAACGCTGTGACATTCACCGTCATGGATTTCAGAGCATTCTCCAAAAACTCTTTCCTCTGCAAATGGAAACAATCATTAGTTTGGATTTAAATTAGATTTGTTGATGGATGACCTCAGGATCGAGAGGTGCTGGTTGATAATCGCTGCTAGGTCCATCGCTGGCCTCCATGGCAAAGCGAAGGAGACCCTGCAAATTGGATGGTTGCCTTGGCTGCCTGACATCATTGGACTCAGGGACAAGAGCAACCTGATTGTCGGGTTTTTGCGGAACTCCGGGCATTGTCACTGTTCGAATCGTTGCTGGATTTGGGATTAAATTCTTGTTAAAACTAGCGAAATCGCACGATTTCTAAATAAATGATGCAATTAGCGGCAACAACAAAATAAACTAACAGATCAAATGCTTTAACCTCACATTTATTATATGCTAAATACGATTTTCTGGAAGTCTCCAGAGAATTCCATAGCTTAGATAATTAACACGCAATGGTGTACATTTAGTTGCATAAGTTTGTTCAAATTGCTGAAACCTTCACGAATTCAGGAATCTTATTAATAAGTAGGAATGCATTGAAGTAAATATTTTTCATATCCAATATATTAAAATATCAATCACATATAAATACAATATTAAAATATGTAAGGACAAGCTCCGATAATAACAAAAAAAAAACCGCAATAAGTAATTTCAATCTTAAACTAATAACAAAGAATAGTGGGTATTAAACTAAAGTAGAATTATATACGCTGTTCCTAACAATATTTATACCAGGATATAATCTTATACACACAAATAAAGAGAAATTAATTAAGAATTAAAAGTTTTAGTGGTGAATCGTAGAGTTTTAAGGCACTTTATATAACTACTCCCCGAAAGCGTCTCGATGAAAAAAAAAATAATAAAACAAAATATATTCCGTAAGTAGAAAATTTGGCCACCCCTTGTAAAAATTTCGATTTGTAAAACTTGTTGTGGTTTTGTACGTTCACGTGGTGGATGTTAACTTAAAATTCACCATGAAAGCGTACTTTAAGACGTCTGGAAGAAATTAGTTGAATACTATTAATGTATTGTGGTTTACAGTATGTCTTCGATCAAGAGATTTGGTGTCTTGGATCAGTGTTGGGGCATTGGTAGAGGCTGCGAATCCGAAGGCACCGCCTGTACTGGAGCTTGAGGGATGTTGGCGGCGGCGGCGGCGGCTGGCTTATCCGAAGAGTCCGACAGCATGAAGGACACTAGGAAAAATGAGCTAGAATAAGTTGCGGGGAAGATGAAAGAAAATAAAGCCAAATTAAACATCCAAACAAGCATAGACAACGAGTCAGTCAGTGTGAAATTAAGAGCGTTGCATCTTGAATGATCAATTAGTGTAAGTATTGATTATTTAAAAAAACAAAATCTTAATTAAACATTGTCTGGAGAAGAGTGAAATACAAGAGGAATGTAACAAAGAATAAAATGAAACACAACTAATTAATTGAAAACAAAAAAAAAATATGGGTATTCACTTGAAATCTACACTTACAGATTATGATGATGAGGATGACGACGGCGATGACGCCGAGGATGATCATCATCTTGAGGTTCTTCCACCAGTATTTGCGCTTGAGCTTTTGCGCCTGCTGTTCGAACCGACGACCGCCTTCCTGGAGGGCGTCCGCCCTGCTGTCCAGCTCCGAGAGCTTCTGGTCCCTTTCCAAGACTTTCTCAACGTTCACGCGCATTATGCTCACCACATCGTTCACCTGTTGCTGAGTCTGCTCCAGCATGCTGCTCTTGCCTCCTGGCTGGCTTCCAGATGCGTTCTCCATGGCTCGTTGTTTACACTAAGAAACGAAAATTGATATATCAAAACCTCGAAACGCCTTATCTGCCATGCAAAACGATAACACAACGGTTCGCGTTATCAGATTCTAAAACAATCCCAACATTTTTGATAGTCAGGTGGAGGAGACATAATCAGAAATTTCTTGATTATCAGGAACAACAGAAAATAATCTTAGTTTCAGTATTCCAACATTTATCTCGCTTTTAATATACTTCAATATAAATAAAATTGTTACGTCCTAAAAAATTAAACAAGTAAATATTCAAATCAAAATTGAATTATTACAAAATACAATTTTACGTTTTGTTAAATATTTCGAAAATCATTAAAATTACTATTAAATCCAAACATTCATATGAAACCTAAATTATCAATAATCAATTATTCTGCTTCCAAACATTCTCCTGCAGAAATCTTATTGGATTTACCAGACTTAAAACGTATATTACTTTTTATATGTAATCATTTTGTAGACCATGCAAACAGAAAATATGCCACGACAACGTACTTTGCGGTTTCTATTTACGCCGAGCGACCTAATAAATATTGCCGGTAAAATCTTCGAAACATTCCTCGCGCGAATATTTACACCTTCGATTTCAACGCAACAATGCGACGTTCATCCAATTAGAGTTAAAGAAAGGAATGCAACGAGCAATCAATAGCAATTGGCGATATCGTCCGCTGATTCACATTCCTAGCGGATTTACAATCGCCTTCTATTCCGGATAATTTAAATAATTATACTAATTACAATGAGTCAAAGACGTTTCTTAATTTCTTTTTTTAAACATCATAAATATTAATTGTTTTAGAAGTGACGTGTATGTAAATAAATAACATTGTTAATACTACGACTAAAACAAATTGTTGGTTTTCATGAAACAATAATAGTATTTCATAGAAAACCACAGTTTTTTTTTATAAAAAAGACTTCTGCATTTATTTGCTATCAAAGTCATGAGAATAAAAATTATGTTGTTTTATTATAGAAAAACTGTAATTTATATGATTTTCCTATAAATTTTTTAACTTTTTGCTTCAAGTGCATGCAATCATAATTTGTGGTATTATTATGTGGGATTATTTTCTTACATGACTCATTTTTTTAGTGATATACAATTAGCACTGGATCAGTTAATTACTTAACAATAAAGATTAATCTATTTTCTATATATTTTTGTTCACTTTCAGAATACAATTGATATGCTTTTTCTGTTCCTGCATGAAACTATTGTTGACTAATGAAGCGTCGTCACAATCAAGCAAGATATAAAACAATTGCATTTTTATCTGTACAAATGGGACCAATAGGAGCAAGCTAAAAATACACTGAATCCAAGGAGGAATATTCTGAGACATCAAAAGATGTGTGGAGGAACGTATACTTACCACATACTTTTCCTATCCAGAGAAGAAAGCAATAACAGAAAGAAGAAAGAAAAAAACGTAGTGGAAATAGGTGTAATTTGTGTTTTTCCTATTGACGGAAGCAACAGGTGATGCGATCAGAGGAGGATTTAACGACAGTTCAGAACTGATTTTTCAGGTGGTTTTGGGTACTTACAGGGTTACGGTCTAGTTCCAAATTAAAACCAAAATTACTGCTGGGCCGATGAGGAAATCAGATCGAAGGTATACGCAGTGCTTGAGTTGAGATCGAGTCAATTAAAAACACTTGACAGGTCCCAATGAAACGGACTTGGGGAAAAACGTCAGCAACTTAAAATAACTTTGATACCAGCGACATCTGAACGCATCTACTCAAGGTTTTCGACTTATAGACAACTTAATTTACTTATATTTCGACAAATGTTTATTCTAATATAAATTAACTGAACGTTCTTAATTTTCATTTTTTAGCGGACCTGAAAGCTTTTTCCTTAATAGTTTTTCGTTTCAGCGACAAAGCATCATCCACTTTCGTCGATGTACTCTCAGTTGGTCCCAGCAATTCATTCAAATTCTTGTTAACAAGCTCCGAGTACGAAGTGAACTTAACATCTGGATTTTTATCTAAAATAACATAATTATTAACTGAAAATAACATATTGTAATCTCTTCATTACTTATATAGTCTTTCAAGAGCTTCTGGTATTTTCCATCCACGTCCTTAATGTCCTTGAACATTTCTGCGTCAACAGTTTCCACGTCTTTCCGCAGTCCGCGATCCGTCAGGAAAATATCATCCCTCAACTTCAAATCTGCCTTTAATACTTTGTTTTCCAGCCCTAAATGGCATTGAGAATACACGAAATCGAAGGCGTTGTCTTTCAAAAGTTTCGAATAGACGTAGCACGCTTCAACATGGTTTTGCGCCTTCATCTCGGCCATCAGAGCGCTCAAAACCTTGAACTCTTCCAAAACCAATCGTATACGAACGTAATGTCTGCAAAAAATCACTTTTAATTCAATTGTACCAGAATGTACAGGAATCCCCTTACTTGATTGGTTGCTTATTGAAAACTCCATAGAGCAAATACAAAGCCCCAATTTTGATGTAGTTTGATGTGTCGAAAACGATGTACTTCTTAATGCAATCGAAGCACATTTGCGTGAAGTGCGGTAATTCATTTCTGCGATATTTCCCACTGAAACACAAGAAAATTATTATAGGCAACCAAACATACACCAAATGAAGAAAATCTTATATTAATTATTGACGTTATTTATGTAAATGGGAGACTTACAGGAAAATGAGACTGAAATTCATCTCTTGCCAGATATTCTCGAAGACGTGAAAATTGTACGAGGAGAAAGATTCGAAATTGGTGAGGAAGCTTTCGCAGTCATCTTGGAAGGAGTGCTGCAGATCAAGCAGTCTCAATCTGCTATCTTTGAACTTTAACATCAAGCACAAGTAATTTGTTAAGTTTAAGTTTACGCTTACTTTGCTAACTGGAGGTTATGTTTACCTGTTAAAGATAACTGACGTTTGAGGCGCACGTGCGAAGCGAAGCGCGAAATTCGAATTCACATATACAGAGTGAACCAAAAAAATACCAAATTTAAATTTTGATTTCTAAGATACAAAAAAATACATGCAATTAATTAAGATTCAAATTTTATTGATAACTAAAATTATATAAGAAAATGAATGATTTAAAGTCAAATTTATGTAAGGTTGGGTACATGATATCAATCAATCAATCAAAGAAACGACTAGTAATATTTCATAGTTTTTTTTTTCTTTATTCGCTTACAATGAACATACTAACTTTTAAACATTAAATGCATTTTTTTTTTATAATAATAAATCTCACATCATTTTTTCATCTTATTAATTTTTTTTTTCATTAAATATTTTTGTTAAGACACCGACAATAGAATTAAAAAACAGTCCTCCTAGAAAATATCGAGAGTGCTTCGGAAAATAATAAAAAAGAAAAACAATAACGAAAAACAATCAATCATTCGGATTTCGTTGTTCGTCGACGCGCGCGTTTCGATTGGCGAACGCTTTCTTTCCACGATCCGCCAATCGAAAGAGTCCAAACAAAAGAACACATAACAAACAAATTTAAAGAGATGTGTGTGGGGGGGTCTGGGAGGAAAGGGTTCATCTGAATAGAAACAAATTAAAACAGATTTCCACCTTTTAAATCTAAGTATAGACATAGAATTATGAATAATTTTAATTGTATGTTTTTTTTTTCTCTCATTTCTTCTTCAATATCCTTACAGAATAGGAAGCGGAAAAACCGTAATCGTTCTGCTTCGAGTGAAACACACACACTTCTTTCGCATCTTCATCTCGCACACACTCTACACGCTCTCTCTTTTGCACTCATTAAAAATGCCATTGTGCTAATTAAATCTTATTTACAAATTGACTATACATATAATTCAATTGTTTTTTTATATCCTTAAATCCTGCAGCTCCCCATCGTCGCCTCCTCTGCATATCCTTACGTTTCCTTAATATTTTTTTTTTTAAATTATTATTATACAGATTTCAATTACATTTATTTAGTATCTTCTTCTTTTTTTTTTGTCTCGTTTTCTTTATATTTCAGTACGAAAATTATCACAGTTATATAACATGTATGTGTAAAAATATTTTTATAAGAGAAAAATGGCTAAAAATCTGCAACAACTCAAAACTCCTCCGACGCTGTCTGTGTAAAAGTCTTCTCTTCGTCCGTTCTTCATCAACGGTGAAACGTAAACCCTAGTGGTAGTTCAGTAGTTTAGACATTTATAAAAGTAAAAAACCGCCGTCTTCATCTCACATCTCTCTACCTCCAATCAACATCATCGCTCCTCATCCTTCAAAAATTAAAACTAGTATCGTGGACCTCATCATCATCAAAACAAAAAAAAACATTGTTTATACACTCGATGGTGTCGCTCAACCAATAGAAACGGAACGAAACGACGAACAAACTTTAAAAAACGTAAAAGACACAAGAAACGAACGAAATTATTGGACGGATTATCCGAGAGATTATTAAAAAAACAAAAATAATAAGGAAGAAACAGCAAGCGAGTGATATGTTTTCTTTTTGTTGAACCAAAATCGCGGCGAACTCTGCAATCCGTGATTCCAAAACAGTTTATGGTAGAGGAGTTTTTGCATCACGTAGAGAGTTCGTCGTAATTGTATCCTGCGGAAAAGTATTGCTTTCTATTATCATCGTTATTCATATATCTTTTTTTATTGTTATTGTTATCCTTATTAATATTATTACTGTATACAAGGCGGCCCTGGAAATCGAACCAAATTTACAAAACGACAATTCCAACGACTAAATTTCAATTAAAAAATAAACACAAGACTTTCCAAGAAAAAAGTAATGAAAATCAACGACTCTCATTATAATATATATATATATATAATTCATTAACAAATCTGATTGATTACCAGAAACAAAAGAAATAAACAAGGATAGTTTTGTTGTTGCGCAAGTAAAGAAAGAAAAACAAAAATAATAATTATAAGAGAACAAAAATATAAACGTTTCGTCTTTTTTTTTTATTCAGTAAAAAATATAACAAAAGAAAAACAAAACGGAAAACCGATTTACTGTATCTGAATGTGTCATATATATATATATATATATGTATGTTGGCATATAATTTTCTTCTCGACTATACAAAATAAAAAATTATTCAAAATCAACTATAAATTTTCTGCAAGTCCAAGCAAGTGTTTTTCATTTTTCTTAACATCCACGTTAAATTAACTTTCTTGACTCGGAGATGAGATTTACTTCTGCGTCGTCCACATAAATATTATGTGAACAGCAAAAACACAATTAGTTTCAATATGTGTGGGGGGGGGAGAGGTCTAGGTTTTGGGGGGGCTTTTTTTCGGGCAAATTAAATAATATTCAGAGAGAAAGGAAAACTTAACGTAACTACAATTAAAGAAAAAAAATAATAATAAAATAAAAATATAATCCCTAAATAGTATTAAAGCTTGTTCATCTTTATCCACAAAAGAAAATAATCATAATAATAATAATAAAAGGAAAAGTAAAAAAAAAAAAACATAATATTTCCTCTTTCACGTGAAAATATCCGTAACATGTTTGTGTATGTCTCAAAAAACGTTAACGTAACGTATATATATATATATTAATTAAAAAAAATATAAAATCCTAATTATATAATGAAAACTGTTCTATATATATATATATATACGTTTTAACATACACAATTCTTGTGTGTGTGTGTGTAATTTTTTTTTTATCTTTCAAATTTCTTAAAGTTTTTCGTATTATATGCACATTTTTTTTGTTGTTGTTTGTTTCGTTTTGCTTCCATCGAAATTATTTACAGGATTTGTACGCGTACAAAAAAAAAATTAAACAAAAACAAAATAGCGTCTCAAAAACAAAAGAAGAAGGAAAAAAAAATATAATAGAAAATCGTTAAAGAAACGTAAACCGTATACATTGATATTTTTGTTTTTTTTTTTGGGGGGGTGGGGGTTGAGGGGGTGATTGATTTTTTTTTTGTACAACTTAAACTGAAAACCAAAGTCCAAATTTTTGTTTTATAATAAATGAAACAAAATTTTTGTTAACTGAAGAATAACGATTTAAAACAAGAAAGAAATAATAATATATTGATTCGATAAATGTAATTGTACAAAAAAAAAAAAGTATAACAAGAAAAAATACTTTAAAGGGTCTTGGTTTTTAAGGGATTTGGGGGGACGGGGGGTGTTTGCGCTCTACTATATGATAAAGTATGTACACGTCGAGCGCTAAATTAAATTAATCGTTTAAACAGACAAAAAAAAATAATAATAATCGTAATCACAAAGTAATATAAATTTGTCTTATATATAATATATATATATATAATTTCTTGTGTTTGTTATTATTAACTCTTTTCTTCTTTTTTTTTTGTTGTTTTTCTTTACATATATATTTTTAATGTATATATATATATAAATAGTTATATTGCAATGAATTTCTTTTACTTTTTACACAGTACGCAATAAATATCAACTGAGCATTCTTTTTATGAGCAAAAATCAGGTCCGTCGTCGCGTTCAAAAATTACTAATAAATTATTTTCTCGAAATAATTAAAACTTAAGTAAAAATTTGATAGTTACTCATAAAATCACGCGTTATTGTGGGGGGCGCATATATTATTAAGATGAGAATGAGTGGATCCAGCGCGCCAAAGAGTTCCACCACTTCCGACGCCCATTATTTATTTGTTTTATATAATAATATTATTTACAGTTGTACCGTATTTGTTTATTTATTTATATATATATTTATTTATATGCTATTTGCGGGCGGCGGATATTGTCGTGGTTGTCTTTGGCGCGTTGGATCCTTGCCGTTGTTGTTGTTCTCTTAAGTGTGTGTTATTTTTGTTGTTGTTGTTGTAGGTTTACTTGTCTTTGAGACCGAGCAGGGAATGTTCCATTAAACTAGAGTTGGGTTGATGCGCGTAGTTCCTGATCTGGTGGAGGCTGATCAGCTGGTTGGGGAAGCCGTTGCTCGGCTGCGTCTTGGGCAGGTCGAGGCTGTTCTGCTTCTGGAAGCTGAGCGCGTCGTAGATGTACGGCCTGTTCGGCGCCAGCTGATGGTTCAGATGGTTCAGGTGGCCGGACATCGAGTTGATGGGTGTGAACGCCGAATTGGCGTTGCTCTTTGAGATCGTGGTGTCGTAGCTGTTGGGGAGGTTCGCGGCGTTCGGGGTGCTCGGCGGAGCCGGAGGATTCTGGCTCAGCTGCTGCCTGATTATCACCAGATCCTCGTTCTGCTCGAGGATCTGTCTGGGGATGTCCGTGGGATACTCGTGCATGTTCTCTGCGGCAGCGCTATCCGGAGACACCTTCGGCCAGTAAGGATGATCGAGACCTCTCGCATTCAAACCTGTCCAAAAAGAAATATCAAAAGAGTTAATAAAGCACATCGAATTTGAGACAACGTCATCTTATACCTAATCCAGCGCCAATCGGTGGCCTCTTGTCCGTCCTCTCGGCGTGCTTCTGCATGTGCTTGCTGAGGTACGTCTCCTGCGTGTAGCTCTTTCCACAGTACTGGCAGATGTGCGTCTTCAGGTGCTTGCTCTCCTTGTGCTTGGGAATGTGCTCGAGCAGAGACGGCTCATCGCTGAAGCACTTGTAGCAGGAGTTGCACTTGTACGGCTTATCCGTCTGATGGCAGCGGGAATGCGACTGCAAGTTGCTCAACTGCGAGAAGGCCTTCTGGCAACCTGGGTGCCTGCACCTGAAGAAAGATAAAAACGTCGAATTAGTAACCAGATTCAACAATTTTCAATTACGAAAACTCACTTGTAAGGCTTGTCCCCGGTGTGCGTCCTGATGTGCTGCTGCAGATGCGAAAGCTGCGTGAACTTCCTCTGGCAGATCTCGCACCTATAAGGTTTAATGCCCAGATGGATGCGCGTATGCTGCGACAGGTAAGAGCTGTTTGCGAAGGCTTTACAACATTGCGAACACTTGTACGGCTTCGCCTCCCTCATGTGTGCCTGCGTGTGAAGCTGCAGCTCCGCCTTAGATCCGAACACCTAGAACAAAAAAAAAAACATAAATTAATAAACCAAATAGAAAACGAACCCAATTACGCAAATAAAACACACACAAACAACTGAAAACCAAGGTTGCGCACGTTTTTCGCGAGTTGCGAAAAAAAATAATCGAATTTAATTTCATTCACTTCAAATGCTGATTAAGAAATTAAGCTAAAACGCAGACCGCATCACATTCATGTATATACACACACACACACTCTTCGCATATTATTTTTCATTAAAACATATTTGCATTATGTATACACGTAATTGATCAATTTTCCGCAATTAAACAGAAATTAAAATAATAAAAAAAAATAATATACAAAATTCCACTACATTTTTTTCTTCCTTCACTCCACGTTCCCAAAAAAAATAAATATTCTGGACGTGGTCGAAAAAACAACAGACAAGAAGAGGGAGATAAATTAACATTCCGCCCGTGTGTAATTCGTTATATCCAATTCGGAATCCATCAAATTTTATTATTACTTCTTTTTTTTTTTAGAATGTTTTATTGAATGCTCCTTGTTGTGTCGCTGCCGCGGGCCATAAATTTGAGGTTGCCAACTATCAAGGACCATTGTTCGCCAACATCGACACACACACACATACAAAACTACATTTATGCAACAATCTAAAATTCTCGCGTGTTAAGTAATCCCCGAATGCACGTAGCATTGAAGCGAATAAAGACACCCGAATCAATGACGTACGAAAAAAATATAATGATATACGCACATTACGTATTCAAATTTAATACAATGCCAAAGTATTGCAATTTTTATTCATGTTATTTTATTTGCAACAAGATCATTTTCATTCATTTCCAATATTACCGAATCGATTACTATCATCATCATCATCCAGATAAACTGTTTGGTTTTTTTTTGACATCGATTCTCTGCTACAGCTCCCACAGATAAGGCGGCTCTGCGACCATGAAAATTTGACTATCTGTTGTAATTGCCGTAAGCTTACTTAAAACGATGGATATTACATTTATATAAAAAAAAGAAGCTACACGGACAACATTTTTTTTTTAGTGCAATTTCAATTTATTTTTTTCCTATTTTCATTTATTCAAATAATGTCAACTAATTTGTAAATGAATCTTACGGAGATGTTAGATAACGAAGGTCGTTTCGTCAAAAGATTAAGTAAGATGTTAATTAGATTCGCAATCTTCAAAGATTTGGATAATCTTCAGGTTATTTACTTTGATAATGTTGTTTTTTAGTTTAATTACTTCTGTTATTAGTTGGTGTATAAAATTAGATCATTAGATGCATAAAATCTTTGATTTGATTGATACAAAAAGCTATTACTCTCTTTACGATTTATTTTTTTTGGGATACGTGTACTGTTTGGAGAGGAAAAAAAACCGCTCGCGCGATATGAAAGCAATTACTACAAACGAAACTTTATAATCCACATCGAGGTTAATACGCGAACATCGACGTCCTTTTCTAGCTCACTATTTTATATTACAATTTTTTTCTCTCGTTCCGTTCGTTTCGTTCTTCTCTCGCTCTGTGGACAACGCACACCATGCATGCATCGTGAATACCGAAATATGTAATAAAAAAAAAATACGATCCTCGCTCGTTTTGACCTCCAAAATCCGCAAATTTCCACACACATATGTAGTAAGAAAGTACATGCTTCTTCTCTTCGTGGGCTCGAGGAGAAGAGGCTCGGCTCGGTCTTCTCTCCCAAATGCATTTAATTTGGCCCCCCGACGTATTATCTCTCCTCCGAGGCGTCGTCGACCTTCGCTTACACAAATTAGCTACGCGCGTCCGACGGAGACGGGTGCATGCACGTAACCGCAGCCGGGGGACGAGGATAGAGGCGCAACCCACGAAACGAACGGAAAAAAAGCGTACGTTTTTTTTTTTTTTTTTTGTAGGAAGTGGACATACGTACATAAGTTTTTTTTTTTTGTTTCGATTCTGCATTAGTGAAAACATACACACTTAGCTACTTAGCGGCTACACCGCAATTTGCATAATTATTGTTATTTATAGGTTTAATTATGGATACGTATTAGCAAATTGATGATTTCCATTGCATTTCCCATTTCAAAATCCTTTTCTTTTACGTTCTTTTTTTTTTCCTCTCTGTTCTTCTCTTGATGGTAATTCCGGAGGAGTTTGAAATGAGGGTACCCGAGAGAGCTGTCGAACGAAATGTGGCCAAAGTTGGGCCATTAAAGTGGGACAACCGCAGCCAGAGACGAAGAGAGAAAGAGAGACTCAGACGACGCAAAGCAGACAGCGAAAAATATATACACGCACACACGTATATAGTCTACGACCATCGAAAAACCGACAGGAAATTGTCCGGTTGGCATCTTTTTTTTTTAAAAAAAACCCTTAGGTAAAAAATGCCCTTTTTTTGTTCTCTCTACCCATAGATAATAACCAAAGACTAGAACCCAAAACCCAACAATACTACTAATTACATCCCAATTTGCACTTTCAAAATTAAACTGATGACGATGATCATCAAATAAATCCATTAAGTTATTCGGGCGTTGCGTCAGCGCGCTTAACATATTCGTTTCGCGTATAAAAAGAAAGTTCAATTGCATCGAAAAAAAAATTTATTAATAATAATTACGTTTCATGCGTATGCATTGATCAGCTGAGCGGATTAGAAAAGATTGACATTTAGCTAATGCAACGAGCTGAGCTGAGAGATGTAGGAGTAGGAGTGAAAAAAAAATGTATATATAGTTGCAGGCGGCTCGAAGTTATGGAATAATTAAAGTAAAAAGCCGCTCAGAACTAGTTTGTGTAAAAACCGGAATGAAATGAGTGTGCGTTCGCTTATTATTATTTTTTTTTTTTGAAAGTAAGTACTCGTAAGTACTTGGAAGACGTTTCGCGTTAAACGGATCTTCGAAAAAACAAAAAAAAGATGTTTAGAATTCGAACGGAATCGTTTGGATTTTGTCTGTGTGTTCGCTCATTTTTTTTTTGTATTCGTTCTTCTGACGTTCAGGTGACGTGAACGCTCTTGACACGTACGGATAATCGACGTCGGTCGCATCATTGTTTGCATTACGTTCGCAGCGCCATTTTTTTTTTGTTAGTTAACAACAGTTTCGATTCTTCCTCATCTCAATTCACAATTATTTAAAAAAAAATATAAAATATTTGCAGCAATAATTACTTTTTTCGTAATGAATTTTCACTTTTAGTATTAAGAAAATTTTAATTATTTTAGAAATTTGAAGTAAAAATACAACTTTAGAAACGTAAATCTGCTATTATAAGAACAAACAAACAAAAAAAAAACTAGTTATTTTTTACTTTCAATTTCGATACGTTTCCTGTAATTACCGTAATAAAGATTATTTCTTATTGGTCATTAAATATTTATACTTTTAGTTTCAATAATATCCGCGCATATTTTTCTAATAATTAAAAATAAAATTTTTTTACTGTTACAAAGATTATTATGGCTTATTATAAATCTGAAGTATCTCAATAAAAATCAAGTTGCGACGAAGTTATAAGGAAGTGAAGTTATTTGTTGTTCTCTAACTGAATTTACGGATGAAAACAACACAAAAAAAAATATATATATTTGAGAAGGGCACGCATTCAGGCGATGAACCCTGATTAATCCATGCCGCTTATCTAATCTGGCCACTCTTTGAATTCACATGTACGTATACGTATACACAATAAACGTGTGTCTGTATGTATGTATGTATATTTTTTTTTGTAATATGCAGAGGCCCGTGGTTCCGTGATGCGATGGTGGATAGAAGAGGAGGAGGAGGGTCCCTCCGCAACGTGGAAAAAAAGCAGGGAGCGGGAGGAGAAGAGATCGATAAAAAAATGTGAGCGAGGAGCGGCGCGGAGGAAAAATGTATCCCGAAAAAAAAAGAAAAAGAAAAAACGAAAGAGAAGTGGTGGATGATGTTGGAGAGGAATGAAATAGCGTCCGCGAAAAAAAATCGTCGTTACAGCAGCACAACAGTCAGAAATCTTATCGTTTTTTTGTTTATTTTTTCTTCTCGCGAATCGATACACACGTGCCGAAAATATTTTTATACACGCTCGCCGACGGGTCGAAAGGTCGCTCACAAATGTCTCCAAAAGATTCGTTGGACCACAATCTTAGACATATATAAGTCACGCACATTGGAAACAAAGAAACTAAATAATATTGAATAGACAAAATATTTTAGATTACAATAACAATTAATTAATTAATTATATACTTTCGTGTATAAAACAAATCATTTGGATGATCGAAACTAAACAAATTGAATTAAAGGCAACGAAAGTTTCTTTTTCCAAGCAAACTTTGTGATTATTTAAGGCGCGCAGCACATAAAAAATATACAAAAGTCAATGATGATGATGATTCACGCTGACGCTCTAAAAATAGTCCGAAGAGAAATGTTCAACGCTGCTCCTTTATGTAATCTCTTAATTAACTTTATTGCAAAATTTTTTAAAGTAGCGCAACGCTCGCAGCCTAGGAGAGAAGAGCTTGAATTCGCACAAAAAACGCCTAAAGTTATCCACAATTCAATGATAATTAATATTTTTTTCAATTTACCAACAATTAGTTGAAAAATTTGACTTTTAAATTTTTGCTAAAGTTAATGTCAAACAGTGAAGGAATGTCCGATGCGATCGTAATTATCGTAATTAATAGACTGAAAAGTTTAAATTATGTTAAAGAATTGGATTTTTAGTGACTTTCGAATATTTGTTATATAATTATAATAATGTTATTTTGTTTATTCTTTTATTAAATGCTAGCTAGAATCATTCAAATGTGAGTCAAATAGAGTTTCTGGTTTGGTGAGCGGTCGGAGCGCGTTTCGCGCGTCGAGAGGGGTTTGTCGGATGAAGAGAGGCGCGGAGGGCGGCGGTGGACGGTCCGAGGGATACCGATTTTTTTCCGGGGCCGGGATTTTAAAACCTTTTAAAATCCGGCACACACAAATTTTTTCGAGCCTGCACAAAAAGAGGCTCACCCGATGAGCGTGCGGGGTGGAGTGAAGGGTGGAAGAGGAGGAGGAATCGCGGTTGCGCAAGGATCCGGATGGAAAAATCGCACAGGGTAATCGATGGTAATTGACGCCATCCACCACCACCACCCCCCAAAAAAAATCTTCCGAAAGCAGCACCGTTGCCGGAGGAGTAGCGCAATTAATAATATTTTTATAAAAAGACGCGAAATAATTCGAAATACTGCGCGCTTAAATAATGCAGACGGACGGACGAATGAGCAGGGGTTGAAAGAAGGAGAGGGATGATGGTGAGGGCGGCGGCGGCGGCAGCGGCGCGGAGGGAGGGAGGGCGCCCCCGGTGAATTTTTCATTGCGGTCATGAATACACGATTTTTTTCGTCAGCTTTTTTCGTCGGGCATTTTTTTAGTGTGCGCCGCGGCGCCCTCACCCTTCGCACCGCCTCACCTCTCGTCCTCCTCGCCGCGCCGCCCTCCGTCGTCGCTGCCCTCGGAATCGATTGCACAGAGGGACGGCACCTCGTGCACCCCCCCCCCCGCGACCCGCTTTGCTTCAAAATTGGTGTCATGAGTCATATATATTGGGGGAAAAAAAAATCAATTCCGCTTGGGCCCCCGAAAAAAAAGTGCCGCCGCATTTTTTACCCTCCAAAAGTCAAAAAATCGTACAAAAAAAAACAGAGAAATCGAAAATTTTCCCAAAAAAAAACCTTATTTAGATTAAAACTTAATTAAACATTAACTTTTCAATAAATTTAAACAAATTAAAAAAACTAATTGGATTAATAAAACTTAATTGGATTAAGAGAAATACAATTATTATGTAATGTCAGTAAAATATTTGAATCGCTTCAATTTTTACGTTATTTCTTGTTGTTATTGGTATTTTACGTCGCCCGCCCCCCAACGAAAAATTTACATACTTGCTTGTACATTGGGAATGGGACAAATTCAATTAATATTTAAATAACGTCGAATTCGGCGGACGCAAATCGAAATCAGAAAAAATAAATAAAAAACTAAACGATCGAAGATAAAAAAAAAACAAAAAAATCATGAAGCTGTGTTGTATAATATGAAAGTAATGTAAAACGAAAACTGTAAAAAGTGAAGAGAGAGCAAAAATCGCTTTGTCCTCTCGTAAGGTGGATTCCAGGATCCAAGCCAAACAGAATGAGCGGGAAACTTCGGACACAACAAAACACAACAAACGCGCGTCCCGGGAAAACCCACTACATACACATACACACATATATTTCTATATATATATATTCGATTAAATCCCTTCCGCAACATCAACAATACATTCATTCATTCTGAAAACACAATAGCCCCGGTTTATTCACCTACACTTACTAAATAATTTATTCGATTCCGTTTACTTTTTGGAAATTGATACTCTCACATTCGAAAAGCCTTGCTTGCTTGCTTCTAATACATATATGTAATACACTTATTCGGCTGCAGAGTTTAGCCTTAATAGCTGGAAATAATGTATAAATTTGACGCGACCAGACGCAATTTGAATTCAAATCGAGCAACAAACATAACGGGGATCGGGCGAACCGCTTCAAGAACCTAAACCACTAGACTAGCCAAGCAAACACTAAACCACTAGTCTTCACATACAGCTCCAAATACAATTAATTCTAATTGACTAACAAACATTCCCAAATTCGATGTTATCGATAATCCAACAAGTTTTCTTTCATTAATTAATCTATTGATTCAAATTGGAGTTGTAATAATTTAGTTTTTAGATAAAAACCAATTGGATACTTAACAAATTGCTCTTTCAACTTGGAATTCTCTACACATTCTTTCATTTCGGTTTTGGGGCGTAGCAGAAAGAAAAAAATTATTGCGCTGACCGAACGAGTCAAGTCAGTGTGTCGGTTTTCGTTTCGTTGATGAATAATATTGAGTAATCGCGGCGTGGGCCGGTTATTTATATGTGGAGTATCTATTTTCGTGCGAAATGTGTTCGCGCAGTGAAAAAGTCGAGGCGTTTCGTGGAGAAAAGCCCGAGGTGGATTTGAAAACGCGTGAAAAAAAAAATTAACACAATCTTTAAATGCATTTCAATCAATTCTAACTTTGAAATTATTTCAGTATTTCCAGTTACTTTTTTTTAAATGTCATTATATGTTAAATTAGTAATCTTTAATGGTTTTAATCTGTTTGTAGACTTTTGAGGTAATAGTTTGGGAATTGTTTATACTTTGAATTCCTAGTTATTGTTGTTTGAAGTTCTTAAATTAGAAGATTCGTTTTTTTTTTTGTTGTTGTTGTAGAGAGTGAAAATACCTTTTCGTCTTGGAAATTTTCTCCGACTGAGATGGGGGTGGGCGGCGTGGTCGAGTTTCCCCTGTCGTCGTCGTTGCGGCCGCCCTCGAGCGACCTTGAACTTTCCGTCGTATTCCTAAGTGTGTCCAAGTGCGGTTTGTACTCCCGATACTTGTGGTCGGGATGGTCGGGTCGGGGGGCTTCGTGCGTCGGTGGAGGCGGCGGTTCCAGACCAACCCGGAGACGGTCGTGCCGCGCGTCCACGTTGTTTCTTCCGTCGAGGTTCATGCGATGGTGAGGAGGTGGTTCCAGATTATTCAAATTCCTATCCGTCAGAGGCCTGTCGCTCTGCGTGAGCGATCGCTCCAGGTTGAGCCGCTCGAGGTGGTGGTCCATGTTCATACGTTCGTTCCTCTCGTTCATCAGCCTCTCCAGATTCAAATTACGTTCCTGCAGGAGATGTCCACGGTCGTTGCTCAGACGATCCGCGCTCAGGCTAAGATTCAACTCCAAGCCGTACCTGTCCATATTCAGGTTGTTCTGCCTATCGACCAAGGAAGCGGTGTTCATGTTCGCCAGAGACCTGTCCGCTCGCAGCTCGTTGTTCCTGAGGTCCTGATGCAGATTCAACCGTAGGTCGACGTTCCGCTCTCCCAATCTATCCCCCAGGCTGCGGAGCGTGTCTATAGACCGCTGCAGGTGGGAGTAGTTGGTGTTGTTTTCCAGCAACATCGGCGAGGGTTGAAATTCCAACCCCCCTGTCCGGCATTCCATTCGACCCTCCAGCTTATCGGACTTTTAGATCGATGATGACGATGATTCTCCAATTTCTATTCTCTTTTTTATTTTACGGTAGAACACAAAAGCAGGTCCAACAAAAAAATAAATAACTTGGACAAACCAAAAAAATAATAAAAAAAAAACAACTTCGTTCCACTAACACATTTGGTTTGGTTACAGTAACATGTGCACTTTGGGTCCTTTGTTTCGAGCATTCGCAACAAACTAATTCGAAAATGTTTTGTATTTATTTATTTTTTTTAAATTTATAAATAAAAAACTAATACGTAAGGGGAAAACACTTGGTGAACTTTTTGGAAAAAACTTGGTTGATTTGAGAGAATCGGTGGAGGCGCGTTACATAAAAAAAAGAGTAAATAAATACGAGTCACATGTGTTTTAAGGTGCACACAACACACAAGACGACGGTGCGGGCGCGCACTCACACACACACTCGATTCCCAAAGTTCCTGCGGTTCGTATGTATGCTCTCACTCCGCCGGAGAGTGTGCTCATGTGTTCGTGTGTACGTATGTATACGTATACGTGGAGCGAGAGTGTATGGGTGTCGATCGTGTGAGAGAGAGAGACGTGGTGAGCAGAGTGTCGACGGAGGTGGTGGGGATGGACGACGACGCCGTCGACGCACATGCAGACATATACGACAGACGCACACACACACTCACTCACTTTCGACTCGCACCAAACGAACCGAACCAACGTAAAAAAAAAGCGTGGCGCACTCTTAGGTAGCAAAAACTACACTAGCTCTACATCTACAAGATTAGAAAAACTCCAGCATCCATCGTGGTGTGTGCCTTGGCCGACGGGTGGTGGTGGGGATGCATATTCGGGCGAACGGTGGTGGGGCGCCCCGCCGTTACGTAACAACATAATACACGCCGATCCGCTCCTCTCACTCTCTCTCACTCATTCACTCTCTCCGCCCCACCGCCCCTCTGGCCCTGAGCGCCGCCGAAAAAAACGACCCCCCCACCACTCTTCCATCCGACAATCCGTGAGTATTACGTGAGAGAAAGAGACCAACAGAGAGAGACAAAAAAAAAAGGGACACGGACGAAGTTGAAGAGGATAGAAGAAAAAACCGCGTGCGTTTTGCGTGTGTTTACACCAAAACATCGAAATAAAGAAGACCAGCAGAAGAAGATATAATTGAGAGGTCAAAATGCATGTAAACAAAGCCTTTGGATTCCACAAAAATTGTTACATTCACTTCAATCGAGCAAAAGAAAAAACTACCCCTCTTCACATTTATAGTCTATTTTTTTTACAACCAACACTGACTAGTTGCAGAGAACGAATAAAGAAAAACAAAAAACATTTCACCCTTCATCATATTAATAATATTATAACATAATTAATAATTGCAATTAAAGCAATTTTCTTAAAAAAAATATTTATTTCATTTCGTTCAATCACTTTTTGAAGTGAAAATGAAACGTATATGAAAGTATATATTTTTTTGTCAGACACTTGTTTGATGCTACTACAAGTTGCAAGGTTAGAAAAGAAGCAAAAAAAAGAAGCGAATTGTCTCGTTTAGGGGTTGTGTTTCAGTTTGCTACTCCACATACAATTTTTTTGGTTGCGTTCATTCACTTTTAAACTGAAACGAAAAAAAAAATACACACACCCCCCAATAACGTATAGATTTTTTTTTGGTCAACACTTGTACGATACTACCACAGGTCGACATCGACCTCTTTTTTTTCCATACTTTTTTTGTCAGTAGACTAGTTTTTTTTGCTAGTAGTTCTTTTATTTCAGGAGAAGTAAAAAACCGGCACGTGACATACTTTTCAATTGCATTTTTTTTTGGTAGATATTTTCACACCAATTAAACATCTATTATATAAGCAAGGAAATACACATTATGTCATATTAACATCAATGACTTTTTCGAAATAAATAATCCAAATAGTTTTTTTTTTATTCTTAATTCCAATAATTATTATTTAAAAATCATTACTTTATATTGATTAAAAATTATTGAAATTCATTAATTTAAAATTTTCCTTCGTTAACTTTAAAATATAAATATTTCATATTAAATTTACTTTTAATTACGATATTAACTGATGTGTTCGAAGAAATCCATTAATTTAATTAATTTAAAAATAAATTTGAACAAAAAAAGAACGTACTTAGAGAAATTTGCATGCATTTACGAATGTTTTGTTTTATTTATACATTAATGAATGAACGTACGATTCTGGAAATGAATGAAAATAACAACAGAAAAAAAAAAGTCGACCTTCTCAGTTGCAGTTTACTACTCTACATTTTTTTTTGTGTGAATTCCACCGCATGCATTCACTGATAAATCAAACAAAAAAAAACGCGGCTTCCCTAAACGTCTAGACTTCTTTTTTTGTACCATAATAGTAGCAGACATGAATTAATATGTTATACGTTTTTTATTTGACGCGTGCGGTCTACGTCTAATAAAAACAGACGACTTTTTTTGTGCAGATTATTTCTTTCATTCAAAACGAAATATAAAGAGAACCGACTTTTTTTCTATTGCTTGTTTTACCTCTATTTACATAGTATTAATGAATAAATACGCATTCTTCATGATAATTTCTTAATTTTCTTATATAAATAATCAGCATTCAATTAGGAAAAATTGAAATTTGTTATTGTGGAAAAACTAATTTCACATTTCAAAAGCACAAAAATACAAATTTTGTTAGGGTTTTTATACCAAAGTTCGCATTCTTGTTTCAATTTTCCACCATATAAAAAAAAATGATTCCAACACGTTCCCTTTTAATTTTTTCTTTGACACTTGTTCGCTTTCAACAGCAAAAAGCTCTAAATTTCACACCTAAACCATCAACAAGAAACAAAAAAAAAAACAAACACAAAAAAGGTTTTTGATTAAACAGAAAAAATAACTTGTGACATAATCTCATAAAGTTTAGCTTCCAAATTAATAATGAATATAAAGTTTTTAACTAACGATTTCAATTTTGATTATTATAAAATTTAGTTATCTAATTATTATTAAGTAATTAATTATTAAAAACAACGCAAAATTGCGATTAATATGTTTGCGTTGTACGAAGATATTATTGCGTGTAATAATAAAATTACTTCAATTAACGCAATTGAAAATTTCCAATCAACGTTTTTTTTTTCTTCTTTATTTTAATTTTTGCAATTTTACTCCCTTTACGATAATTACGCAATTAACTGCATTGAAACAAAACCGGAATGGAAAAAAATGATGAAAATCATTCTAATTAAAGTCCGCTCGGAACAAAAAAAAATAAATCATCACGATTTTTCATTGATAATGATTACAAATTTTTTTTTTCTATTGCGTTTTTCGATTACCGAATAAAGCGCGCTCGGATTTCGTCTGTAATCCTTTCTTCACGCACCGAAGAGTTTCTGCAGAGCGAGTGCAAATAATGGCATTAAATAGGAGGAAAAATAAATAGGGCCCTCGCTTTCCCTTTTTTCCCTCAGCTTACGCCCCAGTTCCAACAAAAGCGGACCACAATTTGGGTCATAAGAGCATTAGCAAACATCATTTTCTGCAATAAAACGCATTTATAGATACAACTTTTACGTAATTATCAATACATTTTTTTTATTCATGAATTAATAATTTTTCAAACATAATTAGTTTCCTGGAATTATTCTCAACTCATTTCCATTTCAAAAGAAAAAAAGTCAATCCGGATGACACACGTAATAACAGGTATTTCTACGAGAAAAAAAAATCCCCCTTTTTTCGGACACTTGTTACATTTTTCTCGCATTGAGGGCAAAAAATTGTAAGTTAACAAAAAAAGTGGTTATTCTTGTTAGGGCGTTCAATGTAGTCCACTTACCCTCAACAAGGGATGCGGTTTGCCCACAATTGCTAAGAAAAGCGCTTTTTAATTGATTCATATTGCTTCCTGCATTTTATACTTTACAAAAAAAATCATTTAGAAATTTAAGATTTTTTTTTCTTAAAATTATATAAAAACACAAGAACGTTCTTAAAGTTTAGTAAGCTTTTAAGAAAATGGCATGTGTCACCGATTCAAATAATTTCTTCCACAAACGTTGTTTAACTTAAATATCTTAAAAATGTAAATATATCTTAAATATCTTAAGCATTAATTTAATTTGAATATATAAAAACAAACGTATTTTCCAAAAAGATCATTCATTACAATCCATTGAAAAAAAAAACTAACGCTAATAATAAAACTGTGAGTAATGAGAAGCATTAGTGTAAACAAAACAAATCAAAGAGAAGAAAAAAGTGGAAAAATTAGACAATAACAGTAAACAGAATAAACTGGACACTTTTAAATATGTAAATGATTGAAAAGTTATTTATTTTTTCGGCACTTTAAGCTGTTGTTGTTTTCGATTAATTTAGTTTGCATAACATTTCTAAACGCGAAAATATAAATAGAATTGATTGTTGTAAACAACAATTCGATTTATTTCATCTTTTATTAAAAATCAAATTATATATTAATTTAATTTTATTTTATTTTGACTGCATTTTTTTTGTTATTTACTTTCTAAACGTTTCTATTTATTTCTTTACAAATTCTTACAAAATAATAGGTAAACATTGTTAAATTATTGATTTTAAATTATTTGCTATGGATTTGTAAAAATTTGTAAAGTCAAATTAAAACAGATTTAAGTTGAATTATTATATAATAATTGTATTATGTAATTCAAGAACACAATAATCAATTTAGTTTTAAATAATTAATGTTAAAGAAATAACAACAACAAAAAAAATAGGAAGATTGTTAAATTATCGAAGTTGTGAAAAGGTTAAATTTGTAAATTAAGATTTGCGGTAATTACTTTTTAGAGACAATAGAATAGATTGTGAAACGAGTAATTAAGGAAGTGAACGATAAAACAGAACTTAATAATGCAAAAGACCACGAATTGTTTAATTTGTTAGAATCTCTCAATTACACGGAAATTATAAATTTTTAATTGAACGCCCTTTTTTTTTCGCCACTTTTCTGTGTCAGAGCTTTAATAATATCAATTTAAAAGTCGTTATTGCGTCAGACGAAACCAAAAAAAATAAAACGAAAATTATTTCGGTATTAGAGAAGCCGAAAAATCCCATTAGCAGCACGAAGATCTTAAGCATCGAAGCTTCTCCACGATTGAAGAAGATTGGTTTTTCGTGAAGTTTTTAGGGAAGGAAGAAGCTGTGACCTAACTGGATTCGGTAATAAAGTTTAGTGCGATAATGCGCAACTCTCTCTCTCCCTAATCCGGCGCGTTCATTGCGTCGTAAATCCATAATAAAAAAAAATGAAAGGGTTACGTAAATATTTACAATTTCGGATTCTTTTCTTGATCTTTCCTCACTCCCGCCGCAATAAATTTCGACGCAATTGCAGAACGGCAACCCTTTGCTAAGGCGAAGAAGTAACAGGACCAGTGACAAACAAACAGACTAAAAAAAAAAACGGTACATCTCATGATTTATTTGGTTATTGCGTCAACCATTGACTTCGAGGAATCAGGTTGAAGGGTGAAGAACAGTTAACGCGTCCGAGATCAATCAATTGTGATTTGTCATCAGAGTCGGTAATTGTTTATAAATCGGGCGTGCAGTTTTCGATTAATCAAATGACGTAATTAGCATTAGGATGGATGTGAGAAGAAAAAGAAAAAGGGGAGTTTGGTAAAGTAAAATATCATTAGTTGGAAAGAGATCAGTCACGGAGGAGGAAGTGGTACAACCCTCTCTTGGTACAAGCATGGAGATTAGCCTAATCGCGTACTTAGGAAGC